TATTCTTATTTTCTCTAAATTTCATTTAATTTGATCGTTTCACAACCCATAATTATTCCTACGTTATTCTATTTTCTTTCTCAATCTTCCGCGTTATAGGTGATTCCTTTTAATTTAAGTTTTATTTCTTATCACAATTTATGTATCCCTCAGTCATAAGTTTGTTTTCTGGTTCCATCTCCTCATAATTTTCAATAGTTTAGGGTCCACTTGTCATAGGTCTGGATTCTGTTCTTCATCAAAAATTATGTCAATATCTGTTCTAATTTTAAAATACACCACAAAATTAATAAAGTACATTCATAATTCTAAAATCCTAATCTAGGTTCAGAATCAGAAATACTTACAACTCTTTTGTGCGACAATCTTTCCGAATCTGCTTAATGTCCTAATATCCTGCATACGCACAACACAAATTAAGTACTGTAATTTAAACACTAAACATAAGCTAATTTCAATTGTAATCATGAATTTCAATAACAACCCAATGAAATACCCAAAAATATCAGATTATGTACCCGAGGAAGGCTCTTTGGCTTCTCCTATGGTGAATTGGATTTCTGTACCTGAAAAAGACTCTTTGGCTTCCTGATTGGGTGAATCGGGTTTCCATTCATGAGGAAGGCCCCTTGGCTTCCATTGGTGGGTTAGTTTCCCACACCCAAAAAAGGCTCCTCGGTTCCCAAGCGGGTGGGTGACCTAGTTGAGCTTGCACAGCTAGCCCGACACCGACCACCCGCCTCCCGTCGCTCAACAGCCAAACAAACACATAACAAAAGATTACATTCTCGGCATGGTGCGATTTGGCCTCAATTTTGACTCCATATAGTTTCTCTCGTGCTACTCGATGGCTCACCTTGCTTGCTTGAGATTTGAATGAAAAATTTTATGCCTACAAATCAGTTAGTATAAAATAGAAAAAGATTGAAGAAAAATAAGGGAAAAAATATGAAAAAGACGAAACATGTTACCTTGCTTGCCTTGGTCTTCGCCATCACATGGCGTCTTGACGCGCCTCGGTCTTCGCCATCACACGACGTTTTGACGCGATTTCTTTTTCTTTTTCTTCCTTTGAAGTTCGGCTTCCGCCACTCTCTTGCCTCCACCACTCTCTCTTCTTTCCTTTTCTTGCAGCGGCCGTTCTTGGCTCCTCCTTCCACTCTCATTTTCTCTTCTCCAACCTTCATTTTCCTTTCCTCTCTTCTCTCTTCCAATCAGCTCTCACTCTCTTCGACAGCTCTCTTCTCTTTCTCTCACCTGATCAACTCATCTCTCCTCTCTCTCTCTTTTTTGACTTCTCTGCTAAATGAAGAAAACCCTAATCTTTTTCCCTTTTATACCCATTCCCCTAGCCGTTAGATCTCACAAACTCGATTCGAGTCATTCATCTTCAATAAAATCTCAGCCATTTGATCTTCTCAGACGGTTCGATCAGGACCATCCATTTTTTTATTTCTTTTTTCCTTCTTTCACTTCCACTTATTTATGCTTCTACCCTCCTTTTTTTTACCTAGTTTCATTTAAACCCTTGAAATTAAATAAAAACCCTAAATTTTTTTAAATTCTTTCATTTAAATCCTAATTCCAATTTTATTTAATTATTTGCATCCCCTTTTATTTAATTTATGGCTGGATGTTATAGTATTAGGTACGTAATAACTTGGTATCAAAGCCGTGTTTCAAATCCTATGTGAAGGTGATGATGGTGGATTTTGTAAAAATAGTGACTGTCGACTACTCCACAATGCTCTTTAACTATATACAATGACAACAGGGTCTAATGATTAAGTTATTGGG